TGGATAGGAGGATTCCCTCGATGTTACGTTAATATGTAGTATATCGCGCGCACACGCCACTGCACGCTACGCCCTGTACACCGCACGGCGGTGCACTCGCGGCCAACACATTCGCACACGCACGCACGCACGGCACGGCACGCACGCACGCACGCGCACGCACGCACGCAACACGCACGCCACGCCACGCACGCGACGCACGCACGCACGTCACCACGCACGACGCACGCACGCACGCACGCGCACGCACGCACGCACGCCACGCACGCACACTGAGTCACACACACACACACACACGACACACACACACACACACACGACACACAACACACACGACACACACATCACACACACGACACACAACACACACCACACACGACACACAACACAGCACACGACAACACAGCACAGCACACAAGCACACTACACATCACACACATCACACGACACACACACACACACACACACACACACACACACACACACACAGCACACTACACACACACACACACACACACACACACAGCACACAACACACAACACACACACACACACACACACACACACACACAAGACACCAACACACACACACACACACACACACTACTACACCACACACACACTCACACACACACACACACAGGCACAACATCACACACACACACACACACACATCACACACACACACACCACACACACACACACACACACACACTACACACACACACACACACACACACACAACACCACACACACACACACACACACACATCACAAAACACACACACACACACACACCACACACACACACACCACACACACACACACACACATCACACACACCACAACCACCGTGTGTGTGTGTGTGCGTGCGTGCGTGCGTGTGTGTGTGTGTGCGTGCGTGCGTGTACAGGGCGTGCGTGCGTGCGTGTGCGCGCGTATACTCATTTAACGTACATCGAGGGAATCTCCTTCCTACGCTGTATCTAAGAACCAGTCTCAGGTGGCGGACGTTACCATTTCAAAACGCTGCAGTTTGTGAGCTGTGTGTGGGGCTGTGTGTGGGGCTGTGTGTGGGGCTGAGTGCGCCTCTTGCTAGGATGCATACACGGCTCCATTGATTGAGCATAGTAATTGGACACAGTCTCAGCAAACTGTCAGGGAACTGGTAGCTGGATAGAATTCCTCCGGAGCGGCTGAATCAGAGCAGAAACGGCTAGAGGGTCATGCGCGAGATATTGTTCCGAGAGAAGAGCGGGCCGCGTATGTCTATCACGGAACTAGATTACGTGTAGAAGCATTACGCAGGGGCGCAATGACTCACACGCACACACACCACGCGCACGCACGCGCACACGCACGCACGCACACGAACCCACACGCAGCCTTGCAGGATGTCTGCATGCGTGGGTGTTGCTGTGTTTATGTGTTTGATTTGCTGAATGAAAGCATGCACCACTACTACCGTTTACATTATAACGTGTGACCTCGATATACACACAGGTTTAAACCTCCACCTCGACGCGTGTCATTTAGCTACAATGTATATGTATGTATGCGTGTATGTATATATATATATGTGTATTTATGTATGTATATTGTATATATCTATTATATACTGGTAGACATACATAATACACACACAAACACAAATACACACGCACACACAAACACGCACACGCGCGCGCACGCACGCACGCACGCACGGGCACAAACAGCTGCCTAGAAGCAGACATCTATATGTATGTAGATCAGGAGTAGATAATAGGGTTAGGGTTAGGGTTTGTATGATGTAGATGTTCTATGATGTAGATGTATGAAGTGTAGTAGCAATAAAGGTTTATTTCTCAGTATGAAATGTACAATTGATCTTTATTTTGGAGTAATTTCAAAGAAGTACTGCCTATGAAGATGTGCCGACGCCCGCCGTGATTGATGTTGATTTTAAGGAAGATTTTGAATATTAAATAATGTTTGCCGTCTTTCACTTTGCAGAGTTGTTAAAGAAGAGCTGATCGATGATGACATGAAACTACCATGTTTTAATGGCAGGGTTGTCTCCTGGGTAAGTCATTCTACGCGCATAGTGACCAGATTACCAGTACTAGGAGGTATGAGAAAACATGCCACTCACACTTCTTCTCTATGTGGGTTCAGTGTAGGGTTCAGGGCTTGACAAGGGCACATGGAGGTCAGGTTGTTCCTTTTACTATTTACGTTATTGCTATGGGGCAGCTAGAGTAATGAACGTAACGTTCCAGCTAATTTACTGCTTGAACTGCAGCGAAGGATGCGTTTAATCGAAATTTGAATTGCGGACGCATTTGATAGAATAGCAATTACGTAAGTATTGATCTACGATAGTACTGTATAGTTACTTACTGTACACATCCACCTCCACTCTATAAAGTTTATTTGTAGTCTAGACAGAGTTTATGTTGGACTCTTGTCCAAATTTAAGTCACAGTTTTGGCTGTTACAAATTGAAAATGCACAAAGGAAAGCTTTGGTAATTGCTTTTGCATTTCGTTGATAAAATTTTATTGTAGCAGTGGAAGAGCGTGCTTTTTGCTTGGCCAGTAATGAGTAAATGTCATCAATATCCATGCTGCCTTCTCGCATGTTTGTATACCATAATGATGTATTGACGAAACCGTACAAAACGATCTGATACGCTTGCATTTAGTAATGAAGAGATGCTATAGGGTAATAAATGGATAATGGATTATAGCGTGTAATGGATGTTTGCATGTGTAGAATTTTGCTTCTGATTCGAACCGATCTTGAAATAAGATAGAAAGTCGTCTTGATTTGAAGCAGAGAGCATTTAGACAACATTTACTATTTAATTATCAGCGTACAAGTTGCGAAAGCGCCTTCACACGTCTGTGATCATGGCAGCAGCTTCAAACATGGCCCATGACACTGTATGTGTGTGTGTATGTGTGTATGTACACTGACTGATGTGCCCACATGTTTGCCTTATAAACGGTGCTGGCCAGCCACTAATGTCAGACGGGAACAGATATAAATGGCCTCGTGTTTACGTAAAATGTGGCCTGTGTTTATCTCGCATTTCCCCCCAAGGAGTGTGACTGATGTCTACTCTTTGTTACAGTGGATAACATGGGATTTCGCGAAACTGCACTGCCCCTAATGCTATCGCTCGAACCTTACCCTCACACATAGAGTATAGCTGTAGCTGCAGGTCCCGTGGGAGGCACGCTCTATCAAAATTGCTGCGATTCTTGATCGTGGCTGAATCCCCAACTGAAATCTTCACGTTAGAGATGCCCTTTGTGAATTGTGATGCGGTAATACAGAAACGATGTAGGCGCATGAGGATTTAACCTTACTCTGTTGGTCTTCACTGGGAAGAAAAAAAGCCACGCGGACAACGCACGGTCCGATATAATCCTACCTAAGTAGTGATGGTTTATAAGCTGCGCTTCTGATGGAGGTTTATAGCTTAAAGTAGAGGGCGTCCATAGGCAGTAGGCCTGAATAAGCATCGAACAGAAATTAATTAAAAATATTCGGAGAGTTTCGGTACACACGCGACATACAGTTTATTCATACTTATTGACTACAGATTCAAATTCTAACCGTCACTCGAAACCTTTGCCGGATTGTTTTCGAGATTTTCAGCATGTCGTCGGATCCCGTTTCAAACACAAAAATGGAGGACCGGTCACCATGGCTACGCCACTTGACAGAAAGCCACAATTACACGACAGGACCAATCTCACTTCTCATGCTTTCTATAGGCGTCCACGAGGCATCTATACCTTGCGTGCATCACGCAAATTACTGCACTTAAGTGCCGAATTTTACCGCAAAAAAAATTCAAAAGAAGGCCTTTTCCAGAGACGAAATACTAGTGAAACAGGGAACAATTGGCGGAAGGCTACTGTTGTATGCGACCTTAGGGTGGGCACCAGACCCGTCGCGTGTGCTCAATCCCTCTTGAATGGGGGGCCCCCATATCAGGCTACGGATTAACATGAATGTTAATGGTCTCTTGACCACATCGTAGCAATCGGCTACCGTAGAATGTTTCGTTCGTCGCAAATTCGACTGTGAACATATCGTTCTGTTGTTAAGAGTGAATGCTTAGGGCAGTGGTTCTTAACCTTTTTTGAGTCATGGACCCCTTTGAGAATCTAGTGAAAACTACGGGCCCCTCCCCAGAAAAATGCACATAAGCACAAAATTCTGCATGCACCTGGTTCACAGACCCCCTGAAGCCCATCCACGGTCCCCCTGAAGCCCATCCACGGACCCTAAAGGGGTCTATATGGACCACAGGGTAAGAACCCTGGCTTAGGGTGACCTCACCGGTACATTGGGAGTTCACTCCTTATCCTATAAGGATAGAACGCGTTTGGATGTGAACCCGATTGTATTGGCGCCTATACGCCAGCACATACCTCTACTGTACATCTCTCCATCGTTTTTTACGAGACTACATCATGATGGTATCCCCGTGGGCTATTCGTGTTGTTACATCAGCGTACATGGTCCCCCCCAGGCGTGTTTCACTATTGTGCGCGCGCCTTGCCTGCACATAGATCAGCTGAGCTGCGCATTTCAATTTAGAACACTTGCACGGTGCCTGCAAGGCTCTATCTGTGTCTCATAGGTGGCAGCACCGGCTAACACGAAGTTCAGTGGCTGAAAAAATCTTGTCACGTCCTCGCTTTGGTTTGGAGAGGAAAAATGTTGTTCGTTCGCTATGCTATTACAGATTATTGCGCTTGGATGCGAGCAACCAATACTGTACGTTAAGCATCCCCCGGTTCTCAAATGTCACCAGGTTAAGAATTCAAAATATCTGAGGTAGGCGGTTTTTGTGACACCACTCACAGGCACTTGGAACCTTTCAATAAAAAATATGGTAAATAAACACGAAATGTATTTATACTACTAAAGTCTCAATGTTTCTCTACTCTCTTTCGCCTATTATTGCCGATAACTTCCTGCCTGTAAATGCCGTTCAAATGCTCCTCTGCAACACACAAGTACACAGCACGAACGCCGCTGCGCACAAACAACAAGAATATAGTAATTACAGATTTACATTTCGTGTTTATTTACCATCATTGAACTATTGAAAAGTTCCAAGTGCCTGTGGCACCACCAATTCTATCGCAGCCGATTACCACCCATTTACGTAACATCACAGACTTGTAGAATACGCGTGTATCAGTGTGTAATTTACTCTGGCCGTTGCTCAGATTCAAGCAGTAGGTTGATCGTCTGAAGTGATCGATAAATTACTGGTGTTAGCTGACAAATTACACAAGCTCTGTAATTTGCCTTACATTGTTGCTGTTAAGACACCCATCATGCCATTATTCCCATACTTGTGCCTTTCCATCTGTTCCATAAACTTTACGAAATACGAAACATGGATTTTACATGTATTTGTTTGTTTGATTGATGTTACCATGGGTTACTCGTAGCTTACTCTCGAATTACCAACATATATTCAAGATTGCATCCATGTATTGACAGAATCATACAAATTAGAACATACAAATCATACAGAATATGAACTAATTAATTAGTTTAATATTAACTATCTATAGTCGTTGATAATTTAAATCGGCATAATGATTAACATTTTTTACCGGTCACGCATGTGTAGGTAACTACGAACGCCAACCGTGAAGTAGTACATGTTTTAACATTGTAAGTTTGTGGGTAAAGGTATCGTTAATCACACGTAGAAACACTAGGTGGCAGTGCGAGATCAAAGGAAACCGATCTGCAGGTAACTTCATAGGTATGTGCAGTTATTATAATAACACATACAAATTGTTCTCGTACATGGCATGTAAATAAATAAACGAATGAATAAGTAAGTAAATAAATATATGTATATCACAGTAATTATTTAGACATGTTTCATAGTGTGTTTTCAGCGTTACTAGAATGCGTGCGTTAGAACGCGTTCCTTCTTTGATTGAACCGTATGATGCCATTAAGTCTGACGACAATTCAAAAATGCGCAATGACTTTTTATAAGCAATTTTAGCTTGTGTTATAACATTTTTGTCATGATGTTTGGTGTGCTAGTATCCCGCCAGCAGCCACGTATGATGGTGTTTGAGTCGTCAGGATGTTGCCGGCGAGTGATACTGTACTGCTTACAAATCCGAAATGTACATGCAGGTTGAGAGGGGACATGAACCAGTTTCTTTTGTGAGACAGCAATCAATTTCTCTCGAGAAGGGCAGGCAGGCAATTTCTCTCGCGGGTTTGCCGTGTTTTTCGATGAGGGATGGCTTGATCTCCTCGGCAAATACGGAGCAGCGCTTCTTTAGTCGCTTATATTGCAATTCGGAGGTCTTAGTCACACAGGAACAGTACTGTGCGCGTGCGTGTGTGTGCGTGTGTGTGTGTGTACGTGTGCGCGTGCGTGTGTGTGCGTGTGTGTGTATGTGCGCGTGCGCGCGCGTGTGTGTGTACGTGTGCACGTGCGTGTGCGTGCGTGTGTGTGCATGTGTGCGTGCGTGTGCGCGCGTGAGTGCGCGCGTGAGTGCGTGCGCGTGTATGCAGTCAGTCGTTCCCGAGTAGGCGTAATAAACTTGCACTTGTCAGCACGAGCCACCCATGTGTGCAGTGATCGTTGCAGACTAAGAACAAGTTTCTCGGTAGAACTCCGAGAGCGCTACAGTAGAATATGTCGTAAAATGTTCAAGGTGCGTAAATGTGCGCATCCGTAACAATTTAGATAAACCGGTAGATATACTGCGCGAGGCATACGATTATGGCAGCACCCTGCCAAAACAAGTTAGGCTCACAGGATAATAAGGTGAATATAATTATATTCCGACATTTTCTGTGGGGCTGAATTAAGATATGATTTCAATAAAATAACATAGATAACTTGAAATTTATGAAACCTTGAATGTGATTAATTAGGTCTACGTACAAAGACTACACAGGTTTAAGTGTCTAACTGTGTGTACTTTTTATAGTGGTTTGGGAATTCAGAATTCGGAATTCAGTTCGGAAACCATGACAATATCTCGCAGTGGTGCTGAGAAGGCGGTGAAC